TGCATGTGAATGGGATAAGTTTACCCATAACAGGACGCAGAGAACAGAATAGATTAAAAATCAGAATCCAACAATATGTTGTTTACAAGAAACACACTTGAAACAGAAAGACACACAGAATTAAAATAAAGGGCTGGAACAAAATCTAATATGCTTCAGCCGAAGTAAAAAAAGACAAGGGTAGCAATTGTGGTCTCAGACAAAGCAAAAGCAAAACTAGACCTAATTAAAAGAGATAATCAGTGAAACTACATTATGCTAAAAGGTGCCATAGACAATGAAGTAATATAAAAAAATTTTACAGCAAGTTTCTCTGATAAAGGCCTCATTTCTCAAATATATACTGTGTTTAGAACTGAGTCAGATTTGTAAAAATAAGAGTCATTCCCCAACTGATAAATGGTCAAAGGATATAAATAGGCTGTTTTCAGAAGAAGAAATCAAAGCTATCTATAGTCATATTGAAAAAATGCTATAAATCACTATTGATTAGAGAAATGCAAATTAAAACAACTCTGAAGTACCACTTCATATCTATCAGAAATGACAAATGCTGGAGGGGAGAAGGGAAGAATAGGTACACTAAAAAAGTGCTTGTGGAGTAGTGAACTGATTCAACCATTCTGGAGAATAATTTGGAACCATGCCCAAAGGGTTATAAAACCAATGCATACCCTTTGACCCAGCAATACCACTACTAGGTCTGTATCCCAAAGAGATCAAAGGAAAAGGAAAAGGATCTATATGTTCAAATATATTTACGGCAACTATTCTTGTGGTGACAAAGAATTGGAAATTGAGGAATGCTTGTCAGTTGGGGAATGGTTAAACGATTTGTGGCATATGATTGTGATGGGGTACTATTGTACTATAAGAAATGATGAGGGAGATGGTTTCAGAAAAACATGGCAAGATCCATGTGAATTGTTGCAAAGTGAAGTGAGAAATGGGAGATCACTGCGAATAGTAACAGCAATGCTGTAATGATGATCAACTGTGAAAGACTTAGCTACTCTGATCAATACAATGATCTAAGACAATTCCAAAGAACTCATGATGAAAAGATGCTATTCGCTTCCAGAGAGACAACTGATGGAACTTTGAGTGTAAATTGAAGTATAATTTTCTCACTTTATTTTTCTTCCTTTTTTTGAAATATGGCTAATATGGAAATATGTTTTGTATAATTTCACATGTATAATTGATATCCTATTGCTTGCCTTCTCAGTGGGTGGAGGAAGGACTGAGAGGGAGGAAAAGAATTTAGAACTCAAAATTTAAAAATAAAAGAATGCTAATAATTAATTAATTAAAATGGTTTTTTAAAATTTTCATATAAATTTGAGACCTAAGGGGCTCTGGGTCTCTGTTATACTTCTCCACTGTGTGCTTCCCTGAGACTGTTCCTTCTTGACATCTGCTCTTCCCCTCCCTTTGTGAATAGTAATAAAGTTTTGTTAACTGCTGTTCCTGTGTGGCTCAGCTGCTCTTTATCCCAACTTCCCTGCAATACCTCTTCATAAGAGGTCTTCAAGAAGGCATTTTGTATGATCCAACCATTTTGGAGAGCAATTTGGAATTATGCCCAAAGGGCTATAAAAATGTGCATACCCTTTGACCCAGCAATAGCTCTTCTAGGGCTGTATCCTAAAGATAAAAATGGGAAAAGGACCCACATGTACAAAAATATTTATAGCAGCTCTTTCTGTGGTGGCAAAGAATTGGAAATTGAGGGGATGCTCATCAACTGGGGAATGGTTGAACAAGTTGTGGTATATGAATGTCATGGAATACTATTGTGCTATAAGAAATGATGAGCAAACGTACTTAGACTTGTATGGACTGATGCTGAGTGAAGTGAGCAGAACCAGGAGAATATTGTACACAGTAACAGCCATGTTGTGTGATGACTAACGCTGATAGACTTAGCTCTTCTTAGCAATGCAAGGATCTAAGACATCTCCAAAAGTCTCATAATGGACAATGCTATCCACATCCAGAGAAAGAACTATGGAGTTTGAATGCAGATTGAAGTATACTATGTGTTCTTTCTTTCCTTCTGCTTTGTTTTGTTTCCTCTTTCTTGTGCTTCCTCCTATTGGTTCTAATTCTTCTTTACAACATGACTAATGTGAAAATATGTTTAATAGGAATGTATATGTAATGCCTACATCAAATTGCACACTGTCTTGGGGAGGGAGGGGGAGAAAAAGGGGGAGAAAATTTAAAACTCAAAAGCTTATGGCGATGATTGTTGAAAACTAAAAATAAATTAATAAAAAAGAAGGCATTTTGTAGTATGGATATGGTCACTGAGATCCCTTCCAGCTCAAAATTTTTGTAGTTGTGTAATAGCCTAATTCCTTTATTTTACAGATGAGGAAACTGAGGAGACTATCTTGCTCTTAATGAGTCATTGTCACATTAGTTATAGCCTCAAGTCAGTGACTAATGAAGCTCAAACACCAGACCCTTATATCTTCAGGCAAAAGATAAAAAGCAGGGTAAGACACTAACATACAAGACAAAACCACTTACATGTGAATGTGTGCATGTATGTATGCATGTATGTATGTATGTATTCCTCACTGATCTCATCAGCTCCAATTAAGGTTTTTATATGTAACAATTCAACAAACATTTCTTAAGCACCTACTGAGTGTAAGGTAGTGATGCTTAGGATTCAATCCCTATGAGGGCTAGATAGCTTTACATTGTTCCACACTCACAAACTGCAACCCTAACAGCTTCTGAATAAATGTCTTAGTCATAAGGGGCCGAATTAGGGAGTATGGACAGGTTAATGCCAATTCATCGCTTATTTAAAAAATTGGAGTATCTACATGTGGGATCTTAACACTGTGGGTACTCCCTCTTCTACCAGGCAAAGACATCAATTTATCTATACCTTCAGAGGTGGCCTTCAAGAATTGCTATGCCCAAAATTCATCACTTTGTAGCCAGCCTGGTAAAAGGTTATTTTAAAGACTATCCACCTGCATAGAAATCTATCTTACCCTACAGGAAAGTAGGAGGGGAAGGGGATAAAAGAAGGGGAGGGTGATAGAAGGGAGGGCAGAATGGAAGAGAGGGTAGTCAAAAGCAAAACACTTTTGAGGAGGGACATGGGGAAAGGAGAAAGAAAATAGAATGAACAAGGGAAAATAGGATGGAAGGAAATACAGTTATCAATGGTAACTGTGGAAAAAAATTTGAAGGAAGTTTCTCTGATAAAGGCCTCATTTCTCAAACATACAGAGAACTTAGTCAAATTTATAAAAATAAGAGCCATTCCCAATTGATAAACGATCAAAAGATATGAATTTTTCAGATAAAGTGATCAAAGCTATCTATAGTCATATGAAAAAATGCTCTAACTCACTATTGATTGGAGAAATGCAAATTAAAACAATTCTGAGGTACTATCTCATATCTATTAGATTGGCTAATATGACAGAAAAGGAAAATGACAAATGTTGATGTGGGAAGCATGAGACATTAATGTATTATTGGTGGAGTTGTGAACTGATTCAACTATTCCATAGAGCAATTTGGAACTATGCCCAAAGGGCTATAAAATCATGCATACCTTTTGACCTAGCAATACCACTGCTAAATCTGTATCCCCAAAGAGATAAAAAAAAAAGGACCTATATGTACAAGCAGTTCTTTTCTGGTGGCAAAGAATTGGAAATTGAGAGGGTGCCCATTAATTGGGGAATGGCTGAACAAATTGAGATATGTGATTATGATGGAATACTATTGTGCTATAAGAAATAATGAGCAGGATGCTCTCAGGGAAAAAAAAAACAAGGAAAGACTTATATGAGCTGATGCAAAGTAAAATGTACTGTGTACAAAGTAACAGCAATATTATAAGATAGTTACCTATGAATGACTTAGCTATTCTCAGCAATACAATGATCCAAGACAACTCTGAAGGACTTAGGATGAAAAATGCTATCTATCCCCAGAGAAAGAACTGATAGTGTCTGAATACAGATTGAAGAATACTTTTAAAAATTTATTTTTCTTGAGTTTTTTTTTTTTGGAGGAGTCCTATGTTTTCTTTCACAACATGACTAATTTAGAAATGTTTTGCATGACTACACATGTATAACCTATGTCCAATTGCTTGCCTTCTCAATAGAGGTGGGGAGTAGGGTGGGAGGGAGAGAATTTGGAACTCAAAATTTTAAAAACAAATGTTAAAAATTGTTTTTACATGTAACCGGGGAAAAATAAAATACTAAATAAATGAAAATAAATAAAGGCAAAAAAACCCCAAATAGAATGAAAAAAAAAAAAGACCCCTGTACTTACCTACCAAAAAAAAAAGTTTTGATACTTAAAGCTATGCTAAGACTTTTGTGACACTGTGTTTCTCATTGTTAGTAACAGAAAGCAACAACACACCTCAAATCATGAATAAGACTTTGTGGTTAATGTGACGAAGCGACATTTCCTGGGCTGCTTCCAGAGGATAGTGTCTTATGCTTGAGTATTTGAACTCTATACAGGTACTACTGCAAGTCTGAAAGGCTTTGTTGAGAAATCTGTTTAGAGTGTTTATCTATACTTTATAGTTCTCTTCTTAGTCAACATGAATCTTTGGGAAAAAAAAAAAAGGCCACCCATCTGAATTTGAATGACAGTTCACCGCTGGGTCCTTATCCAAAGCCTTTTTATCTATAGGTAGACCATGCTAGAGTTTGGGTTCCAGTGGTACATGCCTAGAGAACCTAAGTTCACCTCTACAGTACACTAAGGTATCAGAAGAAGACTTTAGTAGAGGCTATCAACATGGAACCCAAGCATCACTCCTGCTGAAAAAAGAACTCCAAGCATAAGCTCTATTTATGGTTCACCCTCTGCATATTAAGGACAGGCAGTAATTTGCAGATGATCAAGAGGACAATACAGTAATAATATACCACTGTCATATTAATTGCAACCTTAGGTCTCCTCCCTCTTTCCAGGGTGTGTCTCCCCCCTCTCACCTGGAGAGCCTGGTGGAGTTTTTCAGCAAAGTACAGTGGTGTGTTCTTGATCACGGAGACTGTAAAGCAAAGGAGAAAATGAGAGAGGTAAACATGAGGACCCCCAACTTTCCATTCCAACAGAAACTCAATGGCTTAGAGCATGCCCTTACCTAGAGTGAGAAGAGCAGTCTGGGCACTTTCATGAAAATATTTCCGGATGCCATCCTCTATCTCCTGACCACTATGTCTCTGATATTGATCAAACACTATTGGGGTTTGAGGAAGAAATAGAAAAGTGTGGGGAACTGACCGTGGAGGAAGAGACTCCCCTTTAATCAGGATCCATCCCTAATAAGTATTGGGGTTCCATATTACCTCGATTGAGGTGTTCAGTATTTCGTTGGGTAAAAATCATGATCCAAGTTGCTCCTGTGCCCATTTCTCCAGCCTCTTGTAATGCCTGGTTGGGGGAAATAAGACAAGGAGAGAAAGAGACCTAAAAGTGGTGGCAGAACCACCTACTCCCCATGGAAGACACTGGGTACAGGTCCCTATGTCCCATGTATTGGCATGATGACACCTCCCGTCTTTCAGGCCCATAGCTGTCTTAGCCACCTTAAGGAACAAGGTGCCCTTGTCCTATAGACCAGGTCTCTCCCACTTCCCCCAAATCCGCTGCCCTGCCATTTCTCTTACCTCCCAGGACTCAGACTGTGGCCTAAGAGCTTTCTCTCCCCATCCCTTCCCAAATCCTTAGCACAGGCTGTGGCCCCTCCCTAATTCTCTGCCCTCTTGACCATGTTCTTGCTATCAGACCTGTTCTGGGCCTGCAGCAGAGGGACACGGATAAGGAGAGAAAAGGAAGGCAGGAGCAGGTCTAGTTTTGGGAGGGATAGGAGTGAGGAACGGGGGCTAAAACAAAGGAACATGAGCTATGGGCTGCAATGGACCCTGAGTGTCTTAGGCCCTTGTGCTCCTCTGCCCCAGGGTATTGAGAAGCCTGTCCTCTGAAATGACCAGTGGCTCTAAATCTAGGTCTGTGATCCTAGACCACCCCAGGATAAAGGGCGTATCATCACTCTACCTTCCAGGTTACCTCCCTCTTCCCCACTAGTAAGCCTGCCAGGCCTGAGGCTGTTTGCCCCCAGTTCTGCCCACCCCCCAGGGAAAAAGGCTTGAGAGAAGGGAGGCCCATCACCATGGTGACAGGAGACCAGCAGGGATTAACCACCTGGGACTGCCAAGATAGCCATGATGTGTGTAGAAGGGTACCATGCCTCCCCCTCCCACAGAGCTATGTGGCTGGGGGGCCAGAGGAAGCTGGGGTCCTATCAGAGGGGAGTAGACCCTGGGCCAGGGGCCTCCCACCTTCCCCAGGGGTAGGATCCCCCCAAGGCCCAGGGCTGAAGCCAGGCCCATTCCTGGAGGGTCCTGGTCATTCCCCCCACCCCCACCTGCCCCAGCATGCAAATCTGGCAGTTGGTGAGCTCACTTCCTGTGAGTCAAAGAACCATATGGTCAGATACACACAGAGGTGTCAGGTGAGACCCCTACCTGTCTCCCAGACACACTCCTAAAGGGCCTGAAACTGGGAGATGGGCACCCTATTTTCCCCCATCATCCCCCTATGTGGGGCAGAGGGATGGCTGGGGTTGCGCCTAGGTGGCCCCAACTCACCTGTGCATCCTGCTGTGCCAAGTTGTAATCCTTTATCCCAGAATAGCTCTCCCGCGTGCCCTGGAAGTTGGAGTTGAGTTTAGGGGGAACATATTGAGAGGGAAGCTTTTTGTTTCTTTTTCTTTTTAAACAAGCAGCTCTAAGAATTAAATAGCACTTCACATTTATTGCAAAATAATTTTCCTCACAACTACTCCCTTGGGGAAGGGAAGGAATGTGATTATCCCCATTTCACAGATGAGGAAACTGAGGCCCAGAGAAGTCAAAAAACTTGCTCATGGTCACCCAACTAGCAGATAGAAAAGCTAGGATTCTAAATCCATGTCTCCTGATTCCACAAATTCAATATTCTTTCTACTATCCTGTGTGACCAGTAGAAATTAAGCCCTAGGAAACCTTTCCCTGCTTCTATTCACACAGAAATTCTCTCTTGCGCTCCATCCCCAAAGGCCCCCTGAATTGGAGAACACAAGGTCTGGCTTCCTTACCTTAGCCAATGCTAGCAGCAAGTCCCTCAGGAGGCCGCTTGTCTCTGACCTTACATCATCCTCAATCTCCACTTGAAAATCTAGGGCATGGTCCAGAGTGAATATCAGAGTAAGTAGGGAAACCTAAGTTCTATATGGTCTCCTGATCTTTCTAATTTGAACCACCAGGGCTAGTCTTAACACTTGACCCACGGTACCCAGCAAGCTCCAGACCCAAAGAACCCTGATTGCTACTGGCTCCTGAAATTTGGGGCCAAGGCATCATGACTATCCCTGGAAATACTTCTGAATTGTAAGTAACATGTACATAGCCAAGTGCTGGGAGGGAAATTGTTTGACCTCAGTGTTGATATTAAAGAATCTCAAAACCCCATAGCAATACTATTAGGGGTGAGAAGCATCTACTGGCCTGGTAACTAAGGGGCGATGTGGAGAAAGAAAGAAAGAGAGAGAGAAAGAGAGAAGGAAGGAAAGATAGATGGATGGAAGGAAGAAAAGGGGGAAGGAGGGAAGGAAGGAAGGAAAAAAGAAAGGAAGAAATAGGAAGGGAAGAAAGAAGAGAGGAAAGGAGGAAGCAAGGAGCCCAGGTTTGGAGGCAAGATGCTTAAGCCCTGGTTTCCTTACTAGAAGAGAAGAGAAAATGATTCTAGATCTGGGCTGGAAGAGAGGATGCCTGAATTCTGATGCTCTGAGGAAAAGGACATAAGGAGAAAGGATGGAGAAGGGGGAACACTGAGAACTGGCTTTTGGAGTTAGAAGACCTAAGGTCAAATCAACTCAGAAACTAGCTGTGTGACCCTGAGTAAGTCACTTAACCTCTTTCTGCCTCAGTTTCCTCATTTTAAAAAAGGAGATAATAATAATAGTGCAGTGTTATAAGGATCAAATGAGATATTTGTGAAGTGTTTGGCAAATCTTAAAGTGCTATAGAGATACTAGCTATTATTATATAGAGAGAAACCAAGGGAATAAAGGGGACAGGAAAGGGTAAGAAGAAGCAGGTGTCAGATTAAAGGACAAGGCTTCTAGCCGATGGGCTGGGCAGGACCATGGCCATGGTCATAGGAGTGTGGCACCCAAGAGGTTATGCTGAGGGATGGATTAAAGATAAGAGTCCCTATCTTCCTCCCTGGGCTATGGCCAGGCACCACTTAGCTTGAGATGGAGGTTGATAACAGTGTGTCAGTATGTTTTATGGGGAGAAGAGGGGTTGAGAAGAGATAGGGAAGGGGGAGGAATGGATATCCTTGTGATTACAAGAGTCTAACTCTATTATTAATCCAAGGCCCTAGGCTGAAAGGGCTAATAATTGTCTTCTCATTTCCAAATGACTACACTTGGCTTTTTTTCTAAGGGGAAGCTGGGACACTAGCAGAGAGAAGGACTCCTAAGGAACTCATCAGGGAGTAAAATATTAGCATTCGGGCTCCAGGACTCCTCCCCTAAATGGACAGTGATGCAGTTGAAAGATTGGGGAGGACTGAGAGCTTCTGTTCCTTCAATGGGATGTCCCCATTGATTCCTTTCTGAGTCCCTAGCCACTCAGAGCCATTACCATATTTGTAGATAGTCAGACATTCCTGTAGCTGCGGTGGGGAACGTGTAGAAAGGATTTCCACTCCTACATCCTCAGCAGAGCTTATATCCTACAAGAAACCAAGGGTCCATTCTGTGACATAATGCCAGCTGGAATGGTGGAAGTAGGGACAGAAGAAAGACAGTGGCTGTTTCTGTCCCTGGGAGAGAGCACGGACCAGTGACCCTAAGAAAAGGACTGAAGCAGAGATCAGACTTAGAACCCATAGGGTGATGATGTTGGAAAGTCTCTCCCCTCAAGTCCTGGCCAAGCAGTGATTGGGAGATTGGGAAGGCAGCTCCCAGGTTAGAGAATAGATTCTTGTTTCCAAGACATTTGTAGTATATTTCCTCTCCTAATACCTTCAGTGCTGCCCTTAGTTCATGGGCATCATACTGGGCTGCAGGTTTCAGCAGTGCCACCACAACCTTCTCCAAGCTTCCAGAAAGAGCTGCCTGCAGGGATTTCAGTAAGTCCTAGGATAAATATACAGTACTTAAGTTCTAGAGCAGGGTGGGCAGGAGTTATAAGGCTGGCCAATGTAGGGGCAAAGGAGCCCAATTTTGTGGGAACCTGGAGAGCTGTGGTCAATACCACATTCATGTTGGGTAGTCTTCCTTGTGGTGAGCTTGGGAACAACTTCATATGGACAAGTGGGTGCATTTCAGCTAAATAAACAGCTCTTCCCAGTGTCTCCCAAGGGACTGCTCCCTCTTTGTCTTCTTACCTGCTGGGTGCGCTCCTGGAAGGCTCGGGCAATAAGTTGCCTTTGTTCACCATTCCGGTTGGTCAGCACATCCACTATGGTGCCCTGATCCACACCTGAACCAGGACAGAGGGTAGAACCCAACCAGGGAGTTTTTGAAGGTTGAATCACCCAATATAATATAGTAAAGACTAGGGCCATAAGATATACTGGGGCTAGAACCACTTTGGGAAGGACAAGTGCTAGGGAGGTACTACATTGGGATGATATCTATGACTTGTTTTTAAATGATCATGCAGATGATATGCTAAACAATACGGAAGCATGTCCCAATTCATTTTCAGTCTCCAGCTCACTTTGTATAATAGGGGAATTCTTAAGAACACAGAAGGGAGATCCCTGACCCATGGAAGCAAGATAGAGGGACAATGAGTAAGGAGAAATCACCTTGGCCTGCAATAGCTTCTAGCAGCCGTTGTACATCCTTGTCCACATTGAAGCTCGAAAAGGGCCTGAGAGTCCCCAGGGTGCCCCAAGCTGCAGTCTATAGAAACATAGGAGAGTTGGTATTTGGTTGAGAAAGTCTAAGAAAAGGATGACACGCTTAATGTCAGTGCCTCAACCTGACTCTCAGCCTAACCTACTAAGTGGTCTAAAGGCCTCTATTTACATACCTGCCCCTAGGGTCGCCCCAGTCTATTTCCTCGACCACCCTCATGGTCTTACCTTGTTGGCCAGGCCCAGGTGGCTGAGGATCTCATGAACCAGGGATGACTCCATCCTCCCATTGCTCACAGACATGAGGTTGGCACCTTTGGGGAGAGACGCAGGAGCTAAGGTGAGCTCTCCTGTCCTTCTTGGTCCTCTTTGTCACCTAGACTCCCAGGCTTAGACTCCCCGTCCCATTTCCTACATCTTCTCTTCCCACCCAATGTTTCTCTTCTCTCTGTTGTAGAAAAAAACACCATCAACCTGCTAGGCAGGTTTGGGAGTAAGGGCTGGAGCTGGAAGCCAGAGGAACAGAGGAAAAGAAGTCCCCACTGTTCCTATGTCCCTTTGGGGGCTACAGGAATTAAGGAATGCAGCTATAGCTAGGACTTCTACCAATTATAGCCAGGACTCACCCTAACCCCAGGTGACGATCCCTCCAATAACAGATCTATGGTCTAAAGTAGATTTCTCCCTTTAAGGAATCTTCATCCTTCACCTCCACAGGCTGCTGAGTTCTCAAGGGTATTGAATCTAGGGGCAGGGTAGGTGTGTATAGGGAGAGGTAAGGAGACCCATTCTCATCCTTTAAGGCCAGAGCCCCAGCTTCTGAACATTTTCCTTCCCATACCTGCTTTTACTCTGTATCCATCTATCATTTCACCTAGTCTCCTTCATCTTCTGTTCATCTCCCTTTAGGACCTAGGCTGGGACTCTTTAGTCCATGGGCACAATCCATGTACAGGTATGTGTGTGCCTATGAACCCAGATCAGTACATGCAATCACGTAGACCTGTGTGTCTGTAAAAGGCAGACCTGCCCAGTCCATCTTGAGAGTGCAGAAAGACCCCATCATGTGAGGGTGTAGGATCAGAGAGCTTACCTTGAGCAGAGGGTCCAATGTTTATCCAGTGTTGAGTGTGGGACCAGCTTCTCTGTGATAGTGAAGAGAAGGGGGGTGTGTGCAGGACCAGGCTGAGTTGTGAGTCAGGTGACCTCCCTTCCAGACCAGACCAGCTGGTGTCTCCCGCCCTTGGCCCCTCCCAGCTGTGGGAGAGGATCTGGCTGTACCTGGGCACAACACCCCCACACTTCCCTGCCTGTCCTTTCTTTTGGCTCAAGTTGAACCTCATTCATCCCACAGTCTCCCTCTGTGCAGTTCAGTGCCAGACACTGGGGGCTTTGTGCACTGTTTTCCCTAAGGGGGCCAGGTGGTAGGGGCAACAGAAGCCTGGCTCTAACTCTGGCTCCTGGTTCCCAGATCCCTGGAGGGAGGGTAGAGGGGGCAAGTCAGACAGGCTCTAGGACTGATCCCAGGTTTGATAGCATTGCAGAGAACTTGTTGGGGCACATGCCAGGAGGGACACCCCAGTGACAGGCCCCCAGAGGGGTCCCAGCCCAAATCTCTTTAGACTGCTTCCTACATAGACAACTTGGTGCTGCATTCATAGCAGCAGGGAAGGAATTTTACAATCCCGGGCAGTGTAGCTAGGACCCGGTTTATATCTCTAGAAATCTAAATAAAGAGAGGAATTTTAGGTGGGCATACAATGGAGGGGGGTAATGGGGAAGGGACCTATAAAAAGAGACATTAGACTAACTTTGAGCTTAAATACGTGCTTCCCAAGGGGTCACAACGTGGGGAAAGAGAATCACAGGAGACTCTAAGATCTTTGAGCCTGAAGATTCAGCTTTTCACCCTGTGCTGGTTGTCCGCTGTCCTTTTGCTTCGTTGGCTCACCAGCTGTCCTATTTGTAGGTGATGCAATCCCAGCAGCTGGGCTCTGCCTCCCTTTGGGGCACATCGGTACACAGAGCAGCAGGTGAACAGCAAGTGAACAGTACTGTGGTGCGGCAGGGGGCCCTGGAGAACTCCACAAGTCTCATAATGTACCCTCTGAGGACTGAAGACAGCTGTCATCCCATTTCCAGGGCATGTCAGACTATCTATCCTCCTTGGAACACTCTCTCTCTTCACAGCAGGCAAAGAGCTTTTCTGTTTCAAAACTGTCCCACCCTCACCTCACCTGTACCCCTTAATGATTAGGTTACTTCTAAAAAGTAGATGGTATCAATTCTCATGGTGCCAGGCCACTGGGAAGAGATTTCAGCGGTGGTAGGCAGCTCTGATCTCTCTTCCTCCAGTGCAAAAAAAAAAAAATGCAGATAACACCCACATGCCTGGGACAAATGCCTAATTGCTCCTCTAGGGGAATAGTCCAATTGAGGCCCTTCTCCCTAGAGCCTCTCAGCCATAACCTCTAAAAGCCCACAAGAGGGCATCAGTGTCAAGCACCTTTTCTTCAGCAAGTCCAGGGAAAGGGATCTTGCCTCCTGGTGGCCGTTTTTGGTCTGTAATCTCCCCTTCCCTCTACCCCAGCTTTCCAAGCGTCTGAGGGGAAAATCAATGAGACCCCCTGGGTGGCACTGGCCCGAGTCCTGAAAGGTCACTGACAGAGAGAGGAGCAAAGATGAGAAAGATACAGGATAAATGTCCTGGTAGCAGAAGATTATACCTACTCATCTGTTTTTGTCTTGCTCCCTAAGCGAGTTGTCTTGCTCTATGGCTCAGACTGTCAGTTCATGACATGAAGGCCTGGTTTTACTGCTTGAGTTCTCCACTGCTAATTCACGGGTACAATGTAGAGAACACAGTTAGGGTCATTCAATCAGTCATCAACAAGCCTACTTGTTGTCTACTGAGTATGTCTACTTAATTGTCTACTATGTGGCTGGGACACAAAAACAAAAATGAAATTGTCCCTGCCCTTGCTCAAGGAGCTTACGTCAGATTAGGAGAGACAATATATAAGTGTACATATATACGTATATGTGTATATGTAAAATACATAAATATATAGAATATGAAAAATTAATACAAGGTAAAATTTTCTGGGGTGAGAGGCACTAAGCAATTGAGATTTTGAAAGACCTCGTGCTTTTTCGTACAGGAAGAGAAATCTAGCCAGAAGGTTCTCCTCCTTCCCCCAATCCCTACCACCAATTTCCCTACTGTGTTTCTTTCCACTTCACCCATTCCCCTTAGGCTATAGCCCTGGATCCCAGGGGATAGTAGAAATGGTTGCTGAAGAAGCCTGTGCTTCTCCCTTCTCAAACACAGTCTTTTTCTGCCATTAAGTTGGTGGGACTTCAGACAAAGATCTTGAGTGGTATGAGGATTCTTTCTTTCCTCCCTTCCCTTTCCATGAGTCCCCTAACTAACCAGTTTGATGAGAAAGCAGGACAGCTCACTTTTGGCATGAGAAAAAAAATGAGTAGATCTAATCTCTTGCTACCAAGACATTTGTCTTGTTTCTTTCCCATCCTTGCTCCTTTCCCCATCGGTGACCTTTCAGGCTTTGGGACAGTTCTGCCCAGTACCCTCTGTCTCAGGGGCCCCATTGAATTTTTCCTCCAAACTATTTCAGTCCTTATTCCCGTACTGAAGTCCCTACTAGCCGTTGTTTCTCTTTCCCACTGTTCCTTCTATGTTGGGCTGTGTTTGCCTGACGTGGAAAAAGATCTATAGCATTCTAACTCTCTAACTATCCTGGCAGTCTGCCCTGTACCCTAAGACCTAGGCCTGAAAGGCCCTGTGGTAGCCTTGGGCACCTCCACCTTCCTAACACTTCAGAAGTCCTGTCAGGAAGTGAGTCACTCTACTTGTCACAGGGGCACTGTGGGGGTGGTCCTAACAGCCCAGCAACTGCCTGGGTAAAGGGATGAGTGAGGAGGGCAGTGAGGCTAACACTCCCAGGACAGTAGTTGAGATAAGATCATAGTGATAATGACAAAGCTAGTAATATTACCCTAATGCTAGGTGGGGGCTTAGTTTCTTCTCCAGGACAGATGCCTGCTTCCCTCCTTGACAGGCAGCAAGGGGTTATAATCATTATTTTTTAGGCCCTGGCTGAAGTCTCCCTCTGGGAGTCTCAGAACACACACACACACACACACACACACACACACACACACACTCGACCTACCCCACCAGAAAAGTTATTAGTATCCTGTTCTCCTGGAACAGTGGCAGAAAGGATCAGGGTAGGGACAGAATAGATTTGAAAGTAGCAGCTACCACTGGGAAAATTGAATGACTAGTGCCTGACTGCATATCCCCTCCTCCAAATACAGCTGGCAGCTGAGCTCTGAGGGTGGGCTGGAAGGAAGATGGAAGGCAAGAGGAAAGTAGTTGTGGGAATGGAAAACTGAAGGATAGAGGAATAATTGGGAATGCTGGGAGCTAGCCTGAGGGGGAGAATGAATGCAAGGCAAAAGGGGAACCTAGCAGGCTTGAATAGTAGAGGGAGCAGAATTAAGAGGGTCTGGAAGGAGCAAACTCAGGTGTGCCCTGAGTAATGTGCTAAAGGGGTGAAGATACAGAAAGAAGTCTGGGACAGCAAGGTGCTAGAAAAGGGACTCTATGTGCCTGGAACCAGGGAGTTGTGGAGGAAGGAAAGGAGACAGTTAGAGGAGGAGGAACTCTGAAGACCACAGCTAGATAAGGACCGGGGGTACAAGAGGTTATTGAGGGCTAGAGAAAGAATTGGGACCCTGGAGGAGGGAGAAGGTGCTAGAAAAGCCAGATGGGGAATTGGTGAAATATGGAGAGCAGGCTAAAAACAATATATAAAGAGAAATCAAGAGCTGGAAATATGGGAGACAGTAGAACTAATAAAGTATATATGGTGATCTTTGTTTCAGACCAAAAAATTGGGGCATGTGGTCTGAAAATGGATATCTCTTTTACAAAAACTTATTATTTCTCTTTTTAAACTTTTCTTGTGACTGTCTCAGAAAATCCAGGTTGTGTGGGCACAACAGAGAAGCGGAACCTAGGAGAATTAAAATTGGAAAGGGGTCTGGGAAAATATTAGCATGTTAGAGGGCAGTGAGACCCTGGACTTGGCCAGAAAGGCTTATGAACAAGGTCTACCAAGAAGTAGGTGGAAAATGAGGTCTAGAGCTGAGGAAACAGAGAAAAGAAAAGCATCTGGGAGGACTGTTTCAGAGACTAATGGGATCTCTAAAGGTGAAAGTATGAAGGTTCAAGTTTGGGCTAGGAGACCTCTGCAGAAAGGTTAATAAGTTAATTGATAGGAAACCTGTTAGCCTCCTGCTCCTTCCTCCCTCTACACGAAGGCCTCAGACCATTAGTCACATTCTCTGGAAAGTGGAAAGGATGTCTGACAAAAAGTGATGACTGATATTGTCAGACAAGAGGTGGTGGAGATGGATGATGATCCTTGGCCCTTAGAGAGGATCTCAGCCATGCTTATTTGCATGTTTTTCAGCGGGTTTGGGGGTGCACTGAGACCCAGGCACTCCAACATCAAAGTTTGGAGAAGCACCAGCCAACATCTACTCTTTCACCTCTAGTCCTACAGGGAAGATAGGATAAGAAATGTGCTGAAATCACCAGTTCGGGGAACTGGAGACTGAGGCAATTGGGCTGAAACTATGTAACCATCTGTAACTAGGGCAAAGGGTACAACAGAGTGGAGGTGAATGACATAGGGTACTATCATCACCTCCCATCAGTCTAACTTGCCTAAATAGTGTTCGGAGCCCTCCTGTGCCCCAGAGACAAGTTGAACCCTACCAAGGTCATGCTCACCAACCCTCTGCAAGATCGACCTTTCAGTTCAAACATTTGAGTGATCTTTGTGGTCAGAAAAGTCCACTGACCTTTGCAACTTCCCACTATTTGCTTTGGGAAGCCACTCACCCCTATCTGATGCGCTTTGAATTCAAGTGGCAAATACACATTTCCCCCTAAGTCCAAGATCCCGTTTCTACCTGTGGAGCTTAGCTAGGAATGAGGTGGGGTGGGGTGAGGCAGGCAGGAAGCACTACGGAGGAATCTGTTTTCTGCCCACCCAGAAGGTCCCCTACCCCAGCAGCAGGGCTGAGGCGGGAGTGGGTGGGGGTTCGATCTGTGGCTCGGCCATTGATTGCTAAGGTTTGTAGCAGACCCCCCCCACCCCCGCTCCCGCCCACGCCGGCCCAGCCCAGCCCAATCTCCCCCTCCCACTCCCCCGACGCCCCGTGGGCTCCCGCCTAAGCTCAGGCTGACGCTCTCGACTCTTCCAAGACTTGGGCTGGGGATCGGACTCCGCCGGCGGCGGGAGGA